GGAGTGTGGTACCATGATAGTCAAGAGAAATAAAATATCTAGGTGGGAATGAGCCATTACTTTGGATTTTCTGAGAGTTCTAGGAAGGCTGGGACAGAAATGTGTTTGTTAGATTTAGCAGTTCAGATATGATGGGTTGTTTCAATGGAGGAGTAGGAAAAGAAGCCAGATTAGGGTGATTATCATGAAGGGATCTTATATGTATGAAATATTATATAATCAATTAAAGAAAAAAGAGTGAACAGGAGAGGAGGAAGGAATGGTAGTTGATGTGGACCCATCAGTCTTCAGGCTGGGGTGTTTGTATACATTGGTGTTCATGAAGATTTTCCAGTGGTATATGGGTACCATGCAGGCAGTTTCAACTTTTCACCTTCCACTTGTCATTTTCTGCATTTTATTATTTTTTATTTTTAAAAAATATTTATTGTTTAGTTGTAGTTGGACACAATACTTTTATTTATTATGTAGTGCTGAGGATCGAACCCAGGGCCTTGCACATGCTAGGCGAGTGTTCTACCACTGAGCCACAACCCCAGCCCCATCATTTTCTGCATTTTAGTTGGTTGAGAATATCTGTGAGTTTTTCTATCTCCTTTTACAATTGTACTCTAACTTCATTCATTCTTCAGCTCTCAAGTATTCCTGAGGAAATGTTAAAAGACTTGTAGACTTGGTCAGAATTCCTATTCCCTTATAGTACTGTGGATGTTTTCTTCTTATCAGTTTTCACATATGAATTGTAGTCATTTAAAAAAAATATGTTCTCTATTGACATGACAAATATTTGAGTCCTTTCATGGTGTTACAGATTATTTTGGGTGTTTGGAAGTCTGCAGGAACAAAAAAGGGAAAAAAATCCATAGTAGAGGGGAGGCAAATATTTGGAGTCAGATTGGTAGGAAAACAGGTTTTATTCAAGCCAGCTTTGAAGGAAGATAGAAGAAATTTTATGTTTCAAATTTCCATCTTCAGAAAATTGAAGGGTCAGGAAAGCTTTTTGTTGGGAAAACATATAACGGCGGCAGCACCCCAGAGAAAAACCCCAACATGGCGCCTAAGGACCTTCTTTCTCTTTTTTTCTTTCACTGGCGTGAATCCCCCCCCCCCCCCCCCCCCCCAATGTTCAAACCCTGCTGGTGGGAAGCCTTAGCCCCAATTAGAATTAACTTCTTGGGCTCCGGAACTGACATATGGAAGAGCTTGCCAATAAACGGGCAACCTGTTATCTACCTCAGCCCTGCTACCTCTCCTTAGACCTATATAAACACACAACCTTTTGTAATAAAGTGGAACCTCTTCAGTGATCTCTGTCGTGTGGTGCGGTGTCTTCCAGTCTTACACTTTTTATAAGAGGCAGCAAACTAGGACATAAGGAAGGAAATAGATATGCAGATTTAAGTTAGCCTGTGCTAGACAGGCCAGAGCAGAGAAGTAGTTCCTAGTCTCTTAACTTCATGAGTTCCTTCTCTGGACTTGGGACCTCGGTGGTGGAGGGTGGGGGGCAGTCTTTTAGGCTTTATTCTCAGTATGAGAAAATATGGCATGCAGGAAAAAAGTTATCAGGAAGTTGCCCTTAATTTCAGAGGGGGTCTTCATTTTAGTTTGTTTTAGTATCATCACAGTTAATAAACCTAATAATGTAGAAGAAACATTTGAGCCATGACTAGGAGAAGATGAAGTCTACCCTTTGCAGTTGAGTGAAAAAAGAGTTCAGGCAGCCTGTGCAAAGGTCTCAGGGAACTGTAGCATGCCCAGCATATTTGAGGAGCAGCAAGGAGTCCTTTGTGACTGAAGCATAGTAATTAGGGAAGATTGATAAGGCATGAGATTTTATAAGCTACCAAGAAGACTTTGGCTCTACTTTAAGTCGTAATGGGGAGCCAAGACAAGGTTTTGAGCAGAGGAGTAACAAGGTCAAATTTATGTTTAAAAGGTTCTCTGTTTAGAATATTATTGCAGTGGAGGACAAACTCAGGAGGAGGAGGTTGATTAAAAGTTTTTGTTTTTGTTTTTTTAAAGTAACATGCTGGTTGGTAGTGTTGTCAGAAACTTGGTATTTGTCCCCCATACCAATCTAATAATGAGGACATGGTTTTGAGAAAAAGGAAAAAGTTGTTTGATTACTTTTCTAGCAAAGAAGAAGCACAGGAGACTCCTTGTCATGGAGGTTGTGATTCTGCCCATCAGGGAACAGGGGGTTTTAAATAGGTGATTCAAAGGCTACATATGTGTTCCTTCAGAGTTGTAGTTCACTTGTTAATCTGGGAGCTAGTCATTTCTGAGATCTTCTGGTGCTGTCCCCAAAGTCTAAGTTAATTTGATCCTGTGGTGAGTGTGTGCTCAATGACAGATAACTCTGCTGAGGATCGGGAAGAAAGGTAATTCTGTTTCTGCTGAGATTGGGTGGGTTGGAGTTGGGGGAGAGGAGAGAAAGAAAATGTGTCCTTTTAAAAATAAGTTACAGGGCTGGGGATGTGGCTCAAGCGGTAGCGCGCTCGCCTGGCATGCGTGCGGCCCGGGTTCGATCCTCAGCACCACATACCAACAAAGATGTTGTGTCTGCCGAGAACTAAAAAATAAATATTAAAAAAATTCTCTCT